GCTCGGCCGGGTGACCCTCGCCGGCCGCTGGTGACCAGTCCTGCTCTGCCGGCCGTCGCCGGCTGCCGGACCTGCGTTTAGACTGCATTCAGTTTTACCTTTCCCCTCCTGGACTTCTCTTGACAAGTTGATTTCCCCCAACATGATGCCATGGCGAGCTGGAGAGATTAGCAGGCAAACAAGAAACAGTGTTTAGGAAGCTCCTGTTGTGCCAGGCAAGGAAAAGTAGGCTGTTTGGGAGACGCAAGCAGATGGTAACCTGGGGTGGGGCCCGGTTAAAACGCCGCTGCGGTTAGAAAGCTGGACCTGTAGTCAAGTCCCCCGAGCTTAAGGAGAGACAGGCCAAGGAAGGGCGGGTTTGTTTCCCTCGTTTACACCCACAACAAACGCCTCCTGGCTTTACTCTAATCATCTCATTGTTTCTAAATAATCATATTGATCTCTATCATAATGTTACTCTTAGTTTGGGATAGTGTCTTTTTTTCTTCTTGGATGAATTCATTTAACTTCACAATTCTTTTAAGTTTAGAGGAGTATTTTCAGTAAAAATGTTAACCACCAAAGAGACCTCAGTGATTCCGTGTGTCCAAGGTCAGCCAGATCAGCCTATTCACCCAACCCTAGTACTTAGGCACAAATACTTTTTCTGCTAATAGTTTTTGGACCCTCAAAGATTTTCTTTTAGGAAAAAACTTCATTGAACCTCTTGTCTTTGGTGTGAGTTATAAAATATGTAGCCCTCCAGCCCATTTGCAAGTGGGAACAAGCTTGTGCGTTCATTCATTCCTTAGAAGAAAGGAAAGGAAATAGGCAATGCCTGGCCCTCCCTAGCACACACCTGCTTGCAAACTTGGTAACTGATTTTCACTTGGCCTGGGAGCTTAGTTCATTAGGAAAATTCAAGTGCCCTGGAAGCGAGGGCAGAAATTGCTGTTTACTCTTCTGAGAAGTGAGTAGGGCTATTAAAGGTGTGGACCCTGTAGTCACACCACTTGCATTTGAATCCAGACTCTATAAGAGATGGGCTCTGTGACCTTGAACATATAACATGACCTCAAAGTCTTAGATTTCGTACCTGTGAATTATGAATCATCATAAGGTTACAAGAATCAACCTAGATTTTTTTTATACAGTTAATTAAATGTGTGGTTTGGGGCAAAATACTGTATTTAATATATATGAAAATATCCTTTTTAAAATATATATGTTTTCATTGATTTCAGAGAAAGAGAGAGAGAGAGAGAGAAAAATATCAGTGATGAGAGAGAATCATAGATCTTCTGCCTCCTGCAAGCCCCCTACTAGGGATCAAGCCCGAAACCCAGGCATGTGCCCTGACTGGGAATTGAGCCGTGACCCCCAGGTTCATGGATCGACACTCAACACTGAACCACACCAGCCAGGCTTTATGAAAAGATTCTTAAACAAACCTACATTGTAGGTTTCTTGTATTTATCCCTTCCATAAATGCTTGTTGGATTTTTTGTCCTATCCTATACACATCCCTCTATCATGAGAGCTGCAAAGACAGACTCTTAAGAAGAGTTTATCCTCAGGGAACATAAAAGATGTACCTAAATTAGAACACTATGAAATAGATAATAAGTACAAAAGAGATTTATGTAAAGTGCTATAGAAATTCAGAGATAGAAGACGTAATTTCCAGCCGAGTAAACATTTCAGTTAGATCCTAAGGGTTAAATAGGATTTGGACAGGTAAATTAGAGATCCTAATCTTCTAATTTTTTTTTTTTCTTTTTAGAACGATCACTGCAAAGTGACTATTTTAAATGCAATGAAGAAGCTAGGATCTTTCTTAAGGACATGGCTATAGCTGTCAAGAAATTGGTATTGTATTACCTATATGAGCTTCCCCCCCCCAATTTTCCTTTTATTTCTTTTTTTCCCCCTCTTATTTCTTTATCAAACTTTAATTTAGCACCAACTCTGTTCAAGGCATTTTAATAGATAAATAGGGAAAATATTTACCCTGAGTAAAAAATAAGTTTTTTTCTTTCTCAATTTATTAAGCATTTTAACCAGCGTTGCTGAACTGTGGACTGTTGCCCAATTTTCCATGCAGAACACTTAATTAAGACCTGTGCTATGGATGAGGGCAAGCCAGCTAAGAGAAGCAATATGGTGATAACAGAGCTCAGTTAAGGGGTGGGCCAAATGGGCAAATGCTTGGGACACCAATATGTGAGCATTGCTTAAAACAGCCTCTGAAATGAATCGCATGTGTGGTGCGAATGAACTCAGCTCTCTTTAAGCAATTCCTTACGTGACTGGTGAAAATCTTTTTGGTCCCCATTTCACTGAGGTAGACCGTGCTGTTCAGTGAAAACAAACAAACAAGCAGAAATTCTTTGGGTTAGACTAACTCAGCCCCACAAAGAAATAAAGAATTTCCTTTTGAAATGTCACAATCTTTTCTCTGTTTGGTCCTGGATGATGTTTTACAGTGTTTCCCTGGAAGGATCAGAATGGCGAAGTCTCTTTATTTGATTTAAAAATATTAAATGAGAATCTACTATATAGAAATATGGAATCTAAAAATAGAAAAATATGGCTGTAAAGTAAATGAGTTTGGATCTACAGACTACTGATAAAAGTTAATCTGATTACAATTATATTTTATGTAAAATTATATGTAGTTGCATATGTGTACTACAGAATTATACTTTATACTTATACTTAATTGATTACAAATAGAGTACATGCATATGGAATACATACACTCAGAGGCTGTGCGTGTTCCACTGTGCTGTGGTCTTGTGAAAACCTTTTCCTCTGTTTCGCTTTTAATTGTTTTTCTTCAGGAATTGAAGGGATCAACATATTTATTGTGGCTTATTAAAGTATCTAGTATGTGTCCACTTAATATCTGACCTGTGAAATCTCTTAAATAGAGATAAATCCCTCTATTTTCTAAAGTAACAGAGTTTCACTATTATAAAAGCACTACATGCATACTCTGGAAAACTTAGAAAACAATAGACAAGCAAAAGGAAGAGAGTAAAAACCACGATGATCCCGCCACCCTAAGAAAATCACAATTAACTCCCTGATGAGTATTCTTCCTACTTTCAGGATCTAGATGGTGCTTGTATGGAATTTTCTTTTTTATAGAAAAGTGATCATACTATATATATACAATTACGTAACCTGCTTTTCATTACTCATAAAATAGAATGGCAATTTCTCACATCATAAAGTAACTATAGCCATTATGGCCATTTATTACAAAGATGATTTTTTTCCACTAACAGATTTTTGAATTATTTTTCAAATAACCCCACCCCCCAAAATTATAAGTTAATAATAGTAATAACAAGAGGCCCACCTGACTTTTGTTTGGGTTTGTAGGTATATAAAGAGAACCACTTTTCTCTTTATACCTAAGCATCTTTCTATAGGCATTTTCTATTTTTAATTAAGTAACATCTTTGTCAATGTTACCCTTTTTGTTGAAGTCTTTAAATTGGTTGAAATTGCAAATAGGAAACACATACACATAGGGAAAGATGATTTCAGAGTAGAGGAAAATAAGCAGAAATTTAAAGATTAACAATGACACCTTGAAACTGATTGTAGTTATGTTTTCTACTTTCTATTCCAAATAAAAATAGCAGCAGCAGGTATTTAATTAAAATCACATTTTGACCTTTGAAAACATTTATAGGGCATTGTTTAGGAGATAAACTTTATTATTCTAATATGTAATTTAAAATTTTAGGAAGAAATGAGAAAAGACACCATTGAACTTCTGGAAATTGAAAGCATGGAACTCAGCAGACTGTATTTTCTATTGGAAACTCTTCCTAGTAACATTAGCACAGAACTGGAAGGTATTTTGAGGTTAATAACTATAGAAATTTAGTTTATTGTGTAAGAAAATGAACCAAATTCTTTTGTAAAAAGATGAGTTTATGATTAAACAAGATTAAATTTAGTTATTTCATGTCAATATATAGCTAGAAAGGGTACACGACACAAACACAGTGAGATCCATAATGATTTGCCTGACATTTTAAGTGGAAATAATACATATATAACTTAAATTTATATAATTTAGTTTCTAAATAGACTAAAGATATATATAGATCAGCCTATTCCAAATTGATATTTATCCAACTAAATTAGGCAGCTCGATTGGCCTACCTCACCGTTCTACTTTCTATCTCTGTAAGTTTGGCTACCCTAGGTTCCTCATATAAGTGGAATCATACAATATTTGTCCTTTTATGACTGGCTTATTTCACTTGACCTAACGTCTTCAACTCCTGAATTCTTTAGAGTTCTCTTTACTTTCTTACTATTCATTCCTTCATTACTCTAATGCTCTGTTATAGTCAATAATCCTTTTTATTTTTACATTTTTTTGGTTTTGTTTTTTAAATGTATCTTTATTGTTGAAATTCTTTTCCCCCCCATTAACCCCTTTCTACCCCACCCCATGTCTTCACCCCACTATTGTCTGTGTCCATGGGTTATACATATATGCATACAAATTAATAATTGTTTATATTAAAATTTCCCTATGAATTTACTCTTAGATTTCTATGACCTAATTAGACCCTGATTGATACAGTCAGTTATAAAACAACATGCACGGTGTCAGTCTAGCTTGGCGGGGAAAATATAACCAACTATATACATGCGGAGAAAAATAACAGAAGAAATCTGTGCCGAAGGCACAATTAAGAGTGTTTTTGTTTTATTTTCTTTGGTTGCTTTTTATTGTCTAGGTTGGTTTACTTTTTTATAATCAGGAAAAAATATATTAGAAGGAAAATCATTACCATATGAGCTTATATGGTCCTTGATACCTGCTGAATACTTACTCGAGTAACTTTAATTGGCCTTATGAGCCAAGCTTTGCTACTCGAAAGATGGTTCTTGGATCAGCAGCAGCAGCATCCCCTGAGAGCTTATTACAAAATGCAGAATCTCTAGGCTCATCCCATACCTGCTATATTAGAACCTATATTTCAACAAGATCCCCACGTATTGCATATGCATATTTGAGACATAGAGTTCGGGAAGCCTTGCTACAATGAACAATTGAACTAGTAACCTAGAAAAAATAACCCAGCTGTCTCAGGGAAGGTAACAGTTCACTTCTAGGAAATTTGATGTGTAGAAATGGACCATCCAGGACTTTTTCTATCAGCAGTGATCAGAAATTCATGCATTGTTACTATCTATCTGTCATGCACTGTGGTCACCTTCTGGAGTCTCATGTGATCACACTGATTTGTTATTTGTTGATGAATGATTCATGGGGGTTTTTGTGTGTTTTTTAAACATAGCGGGTTCCCTAGACAACAGAACTGAGGCAATGGCTTTTGCACTGTTATTTTATTAGGGAGTACAATTCAGGGAGGCGGAGAGTGGGATAAGGAGCCCAAAGCAGGGAGAAAGGAGAGCTAATATGGGGTGCATTATGATGTTGACTGTTGTCAACTGCAACCAGTGAAATATGAGAGCATGCCCCTAAGACACAGTTACCTCTTCTCAGGCCACCCAGGTACTGACCCCTGGTGATCACTGGTCCAGTTTTGCCCACCTCCTGCACTCTGGGCTTCCCATGTCTGGATGTGGGTTTCTAAAGAAGCTCCTGGTCAGGGCGCATGCCCAGGTTGTGGGTTCAATCCCCCTGCAGGAGGCAGCCCATCTATGTTTCTCTCTCATTGATATTTCTCTTTCTCTCCCTCTCCCTTCCTCTCTCTCTAAAATCAATAAAAACTTTTTTTTTAATTAAAAGGAGAAAAAAAAAAGAAGTCCCATTGGAGAGGCGACAGGGAAGTCCTGGGCGGGAGATGAGTGGATGGGAAAGGCAAGAATCAGGTGCCGTCAGACTGCAGCAGCCTGAAGCTGCCCGGAGCAGCAGCCGAAATGAGGGGAATGACAGGCAGATAAGACTGAGAGGGTCCGAAGTCGTAAGGAAGAGGCATCTGACACAGGAACATCATTAAAAGGGTATTTCAAAGAAAGGCAATTTGTTCATGATTTGAAAAGTTAGTTTCTACAATTGTGCTGTTTCTCAAATGACAATAACGTTTCCACTTACTTCTAAGAATTTGTCACTGATGCTCGCAGATTAAACCTTCTTGAGATAAAACAGTTACAAAGGAAAATTACAAGGATAAATAATAAAATAGAGTTTCTGAAGACGAGAGTACTTGAGCTGAAAGAAAATAATCAAACCCTGGGGTAGGTACTTCTTTTGCATTCAGTGCCCGAGGGAGTCGGGTCCAGGGGAGCGGGGAACTGCCCTAAGGGCTGTCCTCTTACCTGAACAGAAGATGGCCCGGGCCCATGGGGGGGCGCGCAGGGAACGGGGAGAGAGCAGAAAACCGTCCACCCCTGCAGTCCGCAGACCTGTAAAGTTTCCGAGGCGGCCCAGCTCCCGAGCGGCAGCCTCTGCGTGTAAATCCCGCACCCCTCGCACCCCCTCCACACGCAGAGGCTCCAGTGGCTTTAGTTTCCATGTCAGCAAAATGAAGGTTATAGGCCTCAGCATCAAAGGGAGAAATCTGGCTGGGTGTAAATATGGTATCAAACCAGAGATATTAGAGCTAGTTTAGTTCCTTAAAGATGTTCAGTCATAACCTACCGGAGGGCTAAGGGTAGGATTAGTTTCCAGGAGAGGATCTGACTCCTGTCAGTTTCTTTTCTTTATTCCTAGCTGCGTTGCCAGCACTTCACCCCTGGGGGCCTCATTTTCTCCATCTGTTAAATGGGGATTACAAGTCTTGACTTACCCATCTCAGGGAGGAAGATAGAGATTCTGAAAGAAAAAGCAAAAAACCAAAAACCTCCAAAGAACAACTCAGTACTGTGAGCAAATTTGCAAGGCTAATGTGTAAATATTAGAATGTCAGTTTGTCAAAATGAGAAATGTTCAAAGAGCTCTCATGATAGGAGGGAAAATCTTCGTGGGAAGCTAAAATAATCAGAGGACTGCTTGGTGCACAAGATTTCAAAGCAAGAGGAATCAGGCAGAGACCTCAAGGCCCAGGGATGCCTTTCCCAAAGTAGACTCTCAGAACACCTGTCCCGGGAGGTGCTCCATGAGAAAGAAAGTTCATCATCACATAGGTTTGGGAAACACTCATTCTCCAGCCCCTGCTGCGGACTCACAATGCAGATTTGTACATGGTGCATGCTCGCCGTGACTGTCAGAGACTGCTGTGTAGACTAGACCGCCCATTTCCAAGCTGCAATACTCAGCACCGTCACACCCCTACAGACCACTGATTCTCAAACTTCACGGTGGATCAGAACCTCCTGGTGTGTTTGTGAAAACATTACTGGGGACACCCACCCCTGAATTTCCGATTTTGTAGGTCTTGGAGGTGAGGGTGAGAACTTGAATTTCTAGCAAGTTCCCAGGTGCTGCTGCTGGTGCTGGTAGGTCCTGACCACATTTGAGAATCAGTGCTCTAGAGAAATTTTTATGGAAAGGCAAGTTACAGACATAAAGTGGGTTGCTTGATGAGCTAGCATCATCAAGCTACAATTGTTTGTTGCAGCCATTTTTCAAAGAAAGGTGTATATCAGGACCACTCTCTGACAGGTGGTCCTCTCCTGGACAGTCCTCAAACGCTGAACACCTGCAAGCTCTTTGGTGTGCTTTCCTTAGGCTCTGCGTCAGGTTTCTGAGTGCTCTCTTCTCAACCCATCCCGTTACTCCCAGTTAGGGTTTTTTATTTGACTGTTTTCTTTCACTTTGCCTCCCTGAGGCTACTTCATCCTTAGGTCGATTCATTCTTAGAAGGCTTCCCCTACTGGGCCACAAAGCACCCATGGTCTGTCTGACTCCATCTAGCCTATGCTTCCATTTATTGCATTTCTGTGGTGGAGTTGACCTCTAGAAATTGAACTTACCAACCATGTTTCCGTTTTCCTGAACCTTTGCACACAACCACTCAAACTAAAGTCTTTAGTCCTAGGGAACTGGAAAAAGGAAAAACGTTTTTACATTGTAAGAGCTTTTTAAAATGAAAACAGAAATGTTACCAAACAGGACCTGTCCCTAAGGGCACCTGCCTAGGGCTTAGCATAAAAGAAGCAATAGGAGAGCCTAGACTGGGCTGCTTTGGCTCACTGGGAAGTCAGAGAAAAGGGGCCCTTTGGTGACAGGTTCAGAGAGTTAGCTGCTGCTGCCCATTGCTCTCCTGGCTGCAAGTCTCATAGGGGCCCCTAGAGTTTAGGAGATGCACACGAGAGGGAAGAAAAGGAGGCAGGGGAAGGCGTGGACATGTTCCCAGAGAGAGCGCACACATGCTGGGTCCTTTGTCTTAAGAGCTTTTATCTCTTGCAGGCAGGAATCTTAGGGGAGGCCTTAGGGGATGCTTTCAGCAGAAAATTCACCAGTTTTCCAGTTGCGCTCTTTCAGGGTCATGGTCTTTACTGATCGGTCAGTGCCCAGGCAGGGGGTCGTTAGTCATTGCAGCTGGTCCTGGCCTCACCCACCTGGTTTTGCTGCTATTCTGGGCCTGGAGCTGAAATACAACTGAGGCCTAGATATTGTCTCTAGGGAGGTGACCTTCTGTATCTGGCTGTAAATTCCTCGGCCAGTTTGTTCAGCTATCTGTCTCAGTTTCCCTGTTCCACTTGTCCTGGCTTACTGGCCTGTCTCAGAAAGGGTGACAGTTATTCGTCCTCCCAATCTTTTCTTGTTAACCCCAGGGTAGATGTTTCTAGCGGTCTTAAGGTCTTCCTCCAGTGAATGTGACCAGCTGATGTGTTAGGTTAATGTCTCCTTTGGAACTGCAGCTGGGAGAAGTTAAGAGGGTTCACCTTAGGTTTCAAGCATCCTCTGAACAGTGAAGATGGACCCTCTCCTCGCCTAACGCCTGTCCGTCAGAGGAAGGCTAGCTTTCTCCCGGGCCCTCCCTGCAGGACCATGGCATCAGAAGGTGGCTGGAGGGGTGGTGCGATGTTTATCTTTCTTTGACTTAACTACGTATCTCAGGATGGTAACATAGATAGGTCCATGCTACATAGCAAACCGTTTGTCTAGCCAGATTTCATTTACCTGTTCAAAACTTTTTTTGAATCATTACATACTTTAATCCAAAATATCCCATAGTTACTACCTGCTACGTGGGGTGGGTGAGGTGAGGCCAGACCACGGGACATTCTTGCAGTGGTAAACAGTTACAAGGTTCACACTTGTCTTCTGTTTCCATCTCTCCTCATCTCAACCAAGTTTTTAGGTATCACAAATACAATTCTAAAATCAGTATCCCTTACAACCTCCCCCCTTTATGGTGGTTGATCTCGCCAAACGGACTTTAATTTCCTTTCTTAAAAGCCATACTTTTTATGCCATGAATGATTTTTTTTTTCTCCTAGTAAAAAGCAAGAGGTGCTGGCAAAGGAGTATGAAAAGATTGTCCTGTTGTTCAACCACATGATGGGACAAAAAGCTGCAACCACTATCTTCATCAATGAGACTTTCACCAAAATAAACTTGGAGAAAGAAGAGCTAGAGCTTCACAAGAAATATATTCGAGACGTGGAGGAGGAAATAGAAAAAGAAAGACTAGAGTATTTGAAAAGAAAACAAAGGCTGAGTGAAGAGGTAAGTGGCATTGATTTATTTTTTATAGTATAGAGTTGTACCGAATCGCAAACCTGAAATGGGAAAGAATTTCTTTGCCCTCAAGGCTAGCCAGCGCTCCCGGGGTATCTCCTGTGAACACGGGGCTGGGGATAGAGTAGAGACCACTAGAGGATAGGAGATGACTGCATGCCTGCGGGCAGGGAGAGGGAGAGGGGGAGGCGTGGGTGTGCTCCCCGGACAGAGAGGACATTCACTGCGCCCTTTGTCTTGAGGGATTTTATCTATCTTTTGATGGCAGGCCTCTTAGGGGAGCCCCTTGGGGAAGATATTTGTCATCTGGTTGCCTTAGGCAGCTCTGAGGCTGTGTCTCTAGGGCAGGACCAGGGGTTTAGCCCTGCCCCAGCTTGCTGCTCCTGCTGAATGAATCTGAGAGGAGCACCTGCAGGGGGCTGGGCAGAGCCAAAGGCCTTAAGAGAAAAGAGTACAGTGGTACCTCGGTTTTCAAATGTACTCCGTCTGGAAGACCGTTCGAGTTCTGAAATGCTCGAAAACCGAGGGATCCGCAGCCGACAGCTGGGCCTCAGGGTCTTGCCCTCAGTGGAAGCCGTGTGGCTTGTTCGACTTCCGAGGCGTGTTCGAAAACCGAAGCATTTCCTTCTGGGTTTACATTCTGGTAAACCGAAATGTTCGTCATCGGAGATGTTCGAAAACAGAGGTACCACTGTATTTTGAAGCCAGCACTTTTGTGAGGGGGTGGGGGTATAATGACAGCTTCTTGCTGTCTGCTGGGCCGTGCTAATTGAAACCCACCATTAGAATGGCTTACTGTTGGCGGTTCTTTGTTCTGCCTTCCGTTGTCCCAGCAGAGGCAGGGTTGTCTCTGTGTTAGGGGGTTCCAGCATCAGTCGTCTTCCTCCCTCGGTAGGGGGGGCCGAGCTCGTGACGAGAATTCCTAGTGAGCTCCCGATGCTGCCTCCCCATGACTGGAGTTGCCGTAACCTCAGGTTATTGGACTCAAGCTGGCAGTGCTGCTGTACTTAATTTTTTAAATATAGAAAGAAAAAGATATTTATTAAATTGCTTTTCTTGAGTCTTCATTAAAAATTTAGAGGAATACAATCTGGCAGTGACCAACATTTGGTTGCTACGGTGATTGGTTTCATGGTAAGAATTGAGCGTTTGAAAAGTTCCAACCAGGCCTAAGCTGCTTTGCCCTTCAAGGCACCTGTTGTTGTTGGTGGAAAGCAGGCTCTTCCAGGGGAAGCGAGGAAAGCGTTTCAGGGACCCACTCATGGGATATTGCGGTGTGGTGGTAGAGTTTATTTGTGATGTAATATCAAAGGAGTCCTCCTCCTGGCTTCCCAATGTCCCATCTCCCTCCATCCTGCTGTGGAAAAAGTACAGCTGTGTCTTCAACAAGGCCAAGGCAAAGGCCAGTGCCCAGAGCTTCTGCTTCATAGTCCTTTGGAGCCCTCGAAGTCTGCCGTGGGTCCCATGTGGCCACTGGACCCCCATGGTCACGTACTCCCAGATGCGAGAGAACACAAAAGAATGGGCGAATGCAGGTCCTGAGCAGGGGGAGCAAGGGGAGAGATATCTTTGTCTCCTGGGATTGTTCAAAATAACCAGTTAGCTTCCCAAGTTTTCATAGGGTCCAATGATCTCTTTCCCAGGTTAGACTGACAGGCCTCTAGGGTCAAGCACCTCCCCCTCCACTATTTTGATTTTAGTGCCCAGGCCTTATCTACCCCTGCTCCCCCCTCCTACACCCAACCAAGTACCCGAGGGGGAAAGGGAGGGGTGTTAATCCCCTTGGAGGGACACAATGCTGGGATTTCTTGCGTGATGAAGCCGTAGCTTCCTGGTGGAGCAAATAGGCCTCCGCTTGCCAGCTGAACATACTCAACAATGTCTGACTCTCCTTTGCTTCCCTTCCCATCAACAATAACCACAGTAATAGTGTCTTCAGGAATACTTTTACACTAAAACCATGGATGATTCTTCTTGAATATCGATAACTCAGCTTAAGTCGTCCTTAGAATGGGCTCTTTGCGAAGGACCTGGCAAGGAGTCCCTTGGCCATCTGCAGCCACTAAACCAAATTTGTAAAAGCCCAGCTCCTGGGACCTTAGCTGGGCTGAAGCCGGCTGTTAGCCTGGACGCAGTGCTGGAATCAGCTGAAATCCACGTCTCAAAAATAGTGAGGGGCTCCCATCACTGGGAGAGACCTTACTTGGGTTTATTATTATCACAAGAAAATGGAAATTTCAGGACAGTAAGGACCAAAAGGCGTTTTATTCCTGTTTTCATGCCGTATTGACCACGATGCTGAGCAGCACTTGGGTCCCTGTGCTGTTTCAAGCCCTCTCCTGAAAGCACTACTCTCTCTCCAAGCACACCAGACACCTATGCTGGAGCTCGCCTACATTCCAGGGGCCAAAAGTGGGGTGCCACAGTGCGGGCACAGCTGACTAGGGGCTGAGGAGTGGCGAGCCCTGTCCCTTTTCTTTACTACCCCTGGGGCTTAAACGGTCCATCAGCGCAGCATAGGATGTGCAGATCTGTGCTTTGCCCACAGAAAGAAGGCTCCGCAGGGCAGGGGTCCTGTCTGAGTCCTTCACCGCTGTTTCTCAGCACTGCCAGCAGAGCCTGGCATGCGTCGCACATGGGAGGCACTCTATACATTACTTCATTGAATAAGCAAGTTTCTAACTTCATTTTAAGCCCTACGGGGAAGTCCCCCCACTTCTTATTTTTTAATGTAAATGTTAAAACGCAAGAAAGGAAGCTCAAAGGAGCTTAAAACAGGAAATTTGCAAATATAACAGGTTCTTCCTTATGTGAATAGCCTGTCTCAGGGGTCAGATACTAACTATTTAGGGCTTTGCGGGCCATACAGTCTCCGTCACAACTACTTACCTCTGCCATTTTCGTGAGAAAAGTAGCCATAAACAACACCTAAATGAATGAGAGCAACTTTACAAACACAGGCGATGGCTGGATTTGGCCCATGGGCAGTAGTTTGTCTGCCCATGGTAATCTCCCTGGAAAAGGGTACCAGTTAGGATAATTTCAGATGCAAATGGCAGAAGCGAGATTCAAACTGGCTTAGACCGTAAGGGCATTTATAATCTCACAGCAGGAATTACCAATGCAGAGCAGTGTCCAGGGCTAGTTAATTTAGCGGCTCAGCTATCTTCATCATCTTCATCTTCAGGCTGGTTTCACTCATGGTCACAAGACCGCTGCCAGTGACAACTGGACTCTGCTTCCTCATTCAGTAAAAATAGGAAAACCTTTCCTAACCAAGGACCGCAAGGCTTCTTGCCATGTCTGATCCAGCCAGGTTGAGACGCCACCACCCCGTGGCACGGTAATGGGTCCTGAAGGAATGCCGGGGGCAGTGGGAGGACTTGCTGAAGTGGGTGTGAAGGGGAGAGCCAGCAGTGCTCGCTAACGGCACTGACAGGTCGTGGCAGTACCCTGCTAACCCCCTTTACTTCCTATGAAAAAGGAAAGCTATTGCAGGGATCAGAGAGTCTTCAGACCCTAACACAAAACAAAATGCTTTGTGTTAATATTGTTTCTATAGTTGCAAGACCTTGGGAGAAGGCTTAGGCCAAAGCATAAACACAGAATTCCAATTTTCAACAAAATTTATTAATCACAACATTTCCTTCAACTGTGCCCTGGTGTGGAGACAATTGATACTGATCACCTTCATCCAGAGTAGGCACTTTGGTGACGTGGCTTTGATGGAAAGCCAGCCACATGTATTTTCATAACTCTTTAATACAGACTTGCACATGCTTTCTCGGGCCTTACTATTACCGGAGAATTGTGCAGGTGGAATTCCTCCCTTGCTAGTGGACGTGGAGTTCTTATGATATCCTGAGAAAAAGAATCTTCTAAGACTTGCACAAGCGAGCGAGTGACTTTTATTTGCATGGAGTTATATCCCTCGGTTTCAAAAGTCCCATTTCCCTTAAACCAGTCCTGGAAAAGGTGTAACTGGGCTTTCAGCAGAGCTAGAAGCAAAGCCAGTGTCCAGAGTGTCCGCTCCATGGTGGAGCTGAGTCTGGCACAGGATCAGGCTACTTCCAGCCCATCAGTCGGTTGTGTGGGGGTGGGGTCCCCATGGCAGGGGCCCTGTGAGTGAGTGCAGAGCACGAGAGCTCACCCCTGCAACAGGAGTCCCACGAGAGCGAGAGGGCCAAGGCGAGAGCTCCCTTTGTTCAGGAGCTTACGTGCCTCAGGTTTCAGGCCTTTGCAGTGGCCACGTCTCTTCTGGCCAGTGACCTGCCCCAGGTGTGACTGATAGGTAATCACCCTCTTACGTCACATAGACTTTGCTGGGCATGCGCCGTTTCTCCCTTTGTCCGGGCCCTTCCCCCCC